TATATATATATATATATATATATATACACGTGCATACATATTATATGTGTATGTATTTGCGTGTTTATTTTGTGTGTACAGAGCAGCCGCATAGATTGGCCGGTGGTGGAGAGTTTTTCGGAAGAAGCGCTGAGTGCATTTGTATTTTTCTATGCACTGTTTTTCTGGGTGAACGTAGATAGAAGGGCCGACAGCTCTTTGACAGTAGTTGTAGATGCGGGGGGCTTTTCTTTTCGTAAAGTAGTCGGAGGGAGCGCCAGAAGAGTTTTAAATAGCTTAGTTGGGGGTCTGAATAAAACAGTAAGGTATATAGGAGAAAGGCCTGGGTGTGTCTTTCTTTTAAACACCTCTAGCTTCTTAGGCCCCCTTATTTCACTCATATCTAGCATTGTTAATACAGGCGTCATTATTCAAAGCTATAGTAAGCGCTCGCAGTGGGAGAATGTTCTTAAAGAACATATCGGCGAAGAATATTTACCCAGAGAATATGGAGGAACAAACTCGGTCCCTCTTGCAGATGCTCTCGCGTCTAAGTACATTCTTCAGTCTGTAGGAAGAACAAGTACGAAAAGAAGAACTCAATAAGTCTTGTTGAGGCTTGAATTTAAGACGGCAGCAAACCAGCAGCAGCAGCAGCAAAAACAGAAGCAGAAGAGAAGCAGAAGCAGCAGCAGCAAAAGATAAGGCTCCAGGGGTGATATTGCATGAGAAAAACGCAACGGCAGTAGCAGAATAATAGCAGCAGCAACAGCAAAAACAGCAGCAGAAGCTGCTGCTGCAGCAGAGAAGTAACAGCACAAACAACAACAGCAACGCCAACGGCAGCGGGAACACCAGCACCAAAGCCGACAGCAGCTGCAGGAACAGCAGCACCAACAGCAGCGGCAAGAGCAGCGCCAACAGCAGCAGGAGCTGCGGCAACAGCAGAAGCAGAAGCAGCAGCAGCAACAGCAGCGGCAAGTGCAGCCGCAGGGAGAGCAAGACTAACTCCGCAGATGCTGCAACTGCAACAGCTTCTGCCCTCTGCTGCCATGCGATTGATTAGGAGGGTAGCAGAGACTGACAGATGCCGCAGCAGCAGCAGCAGCAGCAGCAGCAGCAGCAGCAGGCATTGCTCTCATCTCTCTCACCCTCCCCTCGCCTCCTCTTCTTTGTATTTATACCCTCTGCCAGCAGCAGGTGTTTGGTTTGCTTATATAGCATACATATATATAATATATCTATGTGTATATATATAATAGATCTATGTGTATATATATGTATGCACAGGAGCATACATATACAATGTAGTTGTGTATTTATATATTCATATATATATGTATGTGTATATATATGTATATATATATGTATGTATATATATGTATATATGCGTATATTTATATAAGGAGTAAACGCGTGCTGTTGTACGAAAGATAGACGTAGGAGGAGACAGAGAGACAGACTGCAGCAGAGAGATGGGGAGGTTTCTGCACACGTCTGCTGTCTCCTTTTTTGACGAACAAACTGTATAAAACAAAGACAAAGGGAGTAAACCCAATGGGTTTTTGCTGATGGTGTTGTTGTTGCTACTGCTGCTGCTATTGCTGCTGGTATTGCTGCTGTTGCTGCTCTTGCTGTTGCTGCCGCTGCTATAGCTGCTGCTACTGCATGAAGGGGGCAGGGCGCCATGGGATACAGAAGAAAATACAACTAAGACAACAAAGATAGAGACAGCAACGCGGTGTATAGACAGCACAGTCAAACAAACAAAGAGACAGATAAAGAGACAAACAGGGGAGACAGTAAAGAGAAGGAGACAGACGGAAGGACAGACAAAAGAAGGAAACAACAAACTAGGGAGGAATTAGACAGAGCCAAAAGGGAGAGACAGACAGACAGAGAACGACACATACAGAGGATGAGATAGATACATAGATACAGATATAGATATATAGATATAGATATAGATTTAGATATATATATATATATATATATATACAGGTATAGAGATAGATGGGTAGATAGAAGGAAGGAAACAGAACGAGGAGGGGACAGACGAGAGTTCACAGAGAAAAGGAGATGCACAGAGGAGACAGACAGCGAAGGAGATAGAGAAAGGAGACAGACAGCGAAGGAGATAGAGGGAGGAGACAGACGGCGAAGGGTATGGAGAGAGGAGACAGACAGCGAAGGAGATAGAGAAAGTAGACAGAAGGGAAGAGGAGACAAAAGGCAGAGACAGAGAAGCAGAACAAAGAGACAAGTGGAGTTGCAGCGTGAGAATAGAGTGGAGGCATGAAGAACAAACAAACGAGCAGCAACAAGACAGACAAAGGAGACAGGCAACGAAGGGGACAGAAAGTATGCATGCATCAAAGGAGACACCCATCTAAACTTCTTGTTGGGTTTTCTTGCATTTCTGCTGCATTATTAAATCGCTCTCCTGACAGGAGAAGCACAAACGAGGGTTTAGGGTTTGTTTGGGGTTTAGGGTTTGTGATATTTGCTTTTTTGAAGTCCCTGAGGCTTCGTCTTGCGCTGTCTCTGCAGCAGCAAAGCCCTCCAAAATGCTAAAAGCGACACGCACAGCAGCACCAGCAAACCAGAGAGCAGCACATATCCCCCCCCATAGCTGCTGCCGCTGCTGCTGCTGCTGCTGTTGCTGCTGCTGCTGCTGTTGCTGTTGCTGCTGCTGCTGCTGTTGCTGCTGCTTCTGCTGTCTGTAGGCGAGTGTTTTGCTGGGAATTTCTGGCTGGAGAGAAGGGGAGAGAGGTTTATATCCCCAGGCTGACTGTGGGGGTTGTGCTGATGGTGTTTATTGGGGTGGGGTTGTTGGGGAGGCTCAGGATGCGTTTGCTGCTGTGCTTTATTGGGTGCTGCTGCTGCTGTTGCTGCTGCTGCTGCTGCTGCTGGTGCTTTAACTCTTGCTGTTTGTTTGTGCCGATCCTCCGTCCCTATTGCAGAGGCTAAGGCGAGGGGAAGTAGTGTCTCTAGAGCGAGGTTAAAAAAGGAGACGAAGGGGTTGTTGCTGTCTCCTCTTGTCTTTGTTTTATGTTTATAAGCATCAGCAAAAGGAGACAGATAATGGTGCTTTCCCCTCTTGTTATGCCCCCTCAACAGCTTCCTGCTGCTCCCTCCTTCTTTGCTGTCTCCTTGCAGCAGCAGCCTGCTGCTGCCAGTAAAGGAGGGGGCTGCGCCTTCTCGCAACAGCAAAGAAAGGGGGGAGGCCCTGGGAGCGTCTCCAAAGACGATCCTAGACACACCCAAAGGCAACTCCAGCACGCGCGCCTCCTGCTGCTCTCCTCTACAGCAACACACACAAACACAAACAGCTTTATGCTGTATATTCTTCTACGTCCGGTTTATATTATACACGCGTGAATAATATATATTACAAACTCTTTTAAAGGAAAAACTTATTATGCAGTTTTTTAAAGACAATATAATATACATTATACTCGCCTCTAAGTATGATATATATATATCTATATCGTTGTTGCTGCTGCTGTTCACTTACAAGGGGTCTATCCACTCCATCTGCACAAGACCGGCACCACCAGGCGGTAGAACAATGCTGAGTATCTGCTGCTGCTGCTGCTGCTGCTGCTGCTGCCCTTGCTGCTGCTGCTGGGGGGGCCAGGCCTGAGTGAGTTTGAGGGGCGCAGTCTCCTGTATGCCGCACCACTTGAGTAGATCTGCTGCTGCTGCAGCAACAGAGAGGGGCCCCTCTCCGTTATTAAAGAGACCCACTACGCTGTCTCCATCCGCCTGCTGTCTGCACAACACCTCCAACCCACCAGAGCCGCTGCTGCGGTGCACTGAGACAGAAAAGGAGACAAACACGGGCAAACAAAGATAAACACATAGACAGAGAGACATATGTATATATATATATATATATATATATATATATTATACATATATATATATACTAAGAGAGAGATGCACAGCCAGGCCTACAGAAGAAACAATAGAACAGAGCTAACATGAGTAAGACACACAGATAGATAGAGGCAGACAGATGGAGACAGACAGAGACACAAAGGAACAGAAAGACAGACAGATATGCATGCAGAGACACAGAAGAAGCAGCAATCACAGAGCGCAAGCAGCCCCAATAATAATAGCAACAATAAAATAAAGAAATGAGAACACAAGAGCGAATTACACAATATCTCTTCAACAAACAGAGTAAAATCAAAGGAGACAAAAGTGCTGTTGTACGAAGGGCGCAGGAGACAGCAGACGCAGACCTTGGGACTGTAGGGGGTCGGCTAATGCAGCAAGGAGGACCCCGTCTTCTATAAGGGATACTGCATACAGCCGAACAAACCCTAAACCCTAAACCCTAATTATCCAACAAAAAGGGTGATGACAGTTGAGGTTTGCTGCTGCTGAGTGCTCGTGGCAGAGGTAGAAAGAGAGCAGCAAAAGGTGTTGTTTTTATCTGTCTCGTTAACCCATTCTTTGCATTATTTGTTGAGGACAATGGGGGAAGGAGAGAGACAGGGGAGCATCTACGCTGAGGGCTGCACTGTTGAGAACAGCTGCAGCACAACAGCTCTTAATGAGGTGTCTGTACACCCCAGACTTCTGCGCACCTTGATGTTGGAAGTCAGGGAAAGAAGACGCTCTCACCGCCACATGTCTCCCTAGGAGAGCCTGAAGAGAGATGCACAAGAGAGAGAGAGGGAGACAAACAGAAGTTTTATTGTTTGCTTTTGGTTTCTGTCTGTTCTTCTTTGTCTCTCTACTGGTTCGTGCTCTCTACGAAGGAGAGCGTAAAGGGAGAAGAGCTAGTGTAAGCCTCACAGCCAAAGCCAGACGCCTCCGTCTTTCATTTTCCACAGAAACGGGATCCGATCCCAGCTTGTGGGGATCGGATCCCCAGGTTTGGAGCTGCTGGACAGAGGCCTTGAGGCTGGCTCCTGCACTGCCTTTTTCTTTCTCTTCATGCTGCAGGGCTGAGGCACCTGCTGCCTGATAAGGAGACAATTTGTGTGCCTTCGATTTTGCTCCGCTGTGCAGCCACTCGCTACACAAAACCCCTACTGCGTCCAAAGCTGTGTTGCTGCTGCAGCAGAACAGCAAACAAACAGCAGAAACAGCGCTCTCCTGAGAAGGACACGCTGCAGAAACCCTAAAACCTATATCCTTATATTCGCACATTACATAACCGATATTCGCTCGCGGGAAGCATAATTGTAGCCTCTATGCTTATTAAATGCTAAACCCTAAACAATAAACCCTCAGCCCTAATCTTGAACCGCAAACCTCAAGTCAGCATTAAACTCTAAACCCTAAACCTAGAATCGTAAACCCTAAGCCTCAAACGCTAAACCTTAAACCCCATACCGAAAACCCAAAGCCCTAAACCCTAGACCCTAAAATCTAGGCCCTGAATCTTCTTTTTCTTTTCACGTACGCATCTCCGTTTGGTGTCCACGAGCAGAAGAGCTGCAGGGACGGCGCGAAGGCCTTTGCTTCTGCGCCCCACAGTCTAAATTCTGATTTTGCTTCTTCTGGTGTCTGAGCACACGAGTTGAGCTGAGGCAGAGCAGAGCAGCGACAGCAGCTGTACATACACTTGACGAGAAGGCGAAGAAGGAAATGCAAAGGAATGCTGCCCAGCACTTCTAGAGGTAGAACGAAAACAAACGCAGTTGTGCAAGCAGCAACCATAGAGAAGGCAATGCAAGAGAAAACTCGCCTTAAGGAAATCAACTCCCCAAAGATCCAGCTTCTCAACAATCTCAGAAGCAACAACCCTGACAAAGAGGTGCACATACACCTAAAGCCACAACTGGGGATAAAACTAAGAACGGAATGAAGGAAGCAGAAACGGCGAAGCAAACGCAAACATAACGAAGAAAATTCAAACATAAAACAAACGACAAACTCAATCCAGAAAACAATTCAGTAGACAAAATTCATGTTCACGTTTTGGGGCCCTACGGCGCACAAAAAAGACAAATTAATTCATTTCTCAGTTATTTTACTCAAATATATTTTACTTTTAATTTCATAATATAGTAAAAAATACGGACTCAAACAATACGCATGCAAGAAAACACAAAAAAACAGAATAGACACAAAAAGACACAGTTGCATGCATTTATCTAGAAGCTGCAGTTGCAGCTCAAAAACGAACCCAACGAAAATGATAATAGAGGTAATCGGCAGCTTTCAGTGCACTTGTTGTTCTAGACAAATCACGGTTTTGCAAACAAACGCCAACTCAGCACATTTCAAAGAGTGTGCATCATTAAAGGGCATCCAGGAAGAGCCTCACAAATCCAAAAGAACAGGAGAATTAATGAGCAGTTTGGGAATATGGAGCATATTTATTGTAGCTTTTTGCATGCATTTGGTTGCGTGTTTTCTTATGGTGGCTGCTCTTAAGGAGGTGGGGCTTGGTCTCTTACTCTTAAAGATAGGAGGGCCTGCAACTCTAAGTCATGCTTAACAAGTGAATAAATAAACAAGTTAGTGGTTGGAGTGGTGCATTGCGCATATTTTGTTTTTAATTTTCTGTACAGACTGCAACGCTCACCCTTCTGGAGAAGGCTCAAGTTCAGGGCAATCTACGGAAGAGACGGTGAGGCCTAAGCCGAACAGAAGTCCCTTTTCTTTAGCAAATCGAGCAACAGATTGAACTCCATGGGGGAATATGATTTTGTTGATCTGAGCTGGTCCTGAGTGTATAGACAGATGGCTTTTTTTAGGCAGGATCTGTTCACTTCCTTCTACCGGTGAAGGGGACTCATGCTCCTGCTTGCTGCCCTCAAGCCAACAGCTCTCCACTGCAAAGTGCGTCATTCCTCGGTGATGTGCAGCAGAAGAAGCAGCTAAAATGATGGCCCCCTCTAGTTTCTGTTCATCCCACTCATCCGTTCTACATTTCCCCTCTGAGACAAAGATACGAAAGCACGCAGCAGAAGGAGCGGGAAGCAATGAGTGTCTTGGTACATTTTTTGGTTAGTCTGAGTCACAAACAGTGTTTTAGATAGAATATTGGGCATTGCTACCCTTTCATTCTCTAGGGTTATTCATTGTGCAGCTTCTTCCAGCAGAAGTTGAATCACGAAACAGGTGATGGACTCACCAGCCCAGGGTGAAAGGAACCATCCGGCCAAGTTCCTGCTTTCTGAATAATTTGGCTTTATTACATGCAAGCTTTCAGAACTCTGAAAGGCAGTAAACATCAACGTTGGTGGATGGTCTGCCAGGTCGGGAGGTGTATGGACCAGCGGCACCGATTCGAATTCCTCGAAATCCTCAAAGGGGAGAGGAAAGCTCTCTTCATCTCCAAAGGGTATTTCAAAAGGATCAAAAGCATCTGTTTCTGAATATATTTCCAGGGGCAAAAGGAACAATAGACTAAGACTGGCAACGGTCGCGGTACGACGGACCAGCCGTCGGGGAAACCTGAATTGGGCGATCCTCATGGAAATGAACGCCAAGGCCAGCTGGCTCGAAATTTATCGTCTTCTCAAATTTAAAAATACTATAAAATCAATTATTCAAAAATTATTTAAACTAAAGATGATTTAGAGCCGAAAGGAGGGGAGAACACTCAGTGCCTCCCTGGGGGCCGAGCCCAGTTCAGGTTTCAGAGGCGGTTGATTTCAATCAAGGATTCGGTTTCCCTTGATTCCCTGCCAGTTCTCGCAACTGTTCTTCCTCCCTTAGTAGTCTTTAAATAATATGCAACTCAAAAGAGCCACTAAAAATGCATTTCTTCTTCTCATTTGTAGTTTCATATCCTTCACACTCTACCGCGGGAGACTCTAATACCGGCCGCGAGCGACCCACGTCGGCAGTTGAGAACCGCACGGCATCAGGAAATCACAGTTAAAGCGTAGAATTCATGAGCTTGCAACAACTGGTGTTTTCACAAGTTCGTAAATATTGAATATGTTTGATATACTGCATTCGAATATGCTTTCCTTGAGCTTCGGTCTGTTGCACAGTGTGTTGAAATGCCATTCGCTCACACGCAAAAGCAACGCAATAGAAACTGAACCATAAACCATACTCACATACTCAAAAAACCTAGACATATTCAAAAAGGAACTACGCCAACTGGGACTTTCGCTTCCTTCTCTACGTCTTGCCGTACCTCATCACTTCTTTCAAAGCCCAGAATCTGAAGTGATATAATGATAAATATGTAATGAAGTGTATAATACTAGGCTACTAATATAGTTATTTCTTCACCTCCTTGGATTTGATGACCTACTAATATTATTCCATTTGCTAGGATTATGACCCGAACATTCATCACTACTACTATTGCATTATAAGGTACCAAGTCCGAAGAAGTGCAAAATTACCAGCTATAAAGATTGCAAATATCAATCAAGACAGGGAGTTGTTAAAATCGTACTTGTTCGCCCGCACTGCACCTGTCATTGTGGGCTTTCGGAATAAAAAACAAGAGGATGAACGGAAACATCAGCAACAACAAACTTCTTAGGACGCGGCTGCGGGGCGGGGAGGCGCGAGTTGTTAGTCGCTGCATATATGCAATATAGATACATTGCTATACATGTATATTTATATAACATATGCAATATACACTATATGTAAATATACATGTATGCAGTACAAAATACATTCTATGCTATGTGCAATGGAGATGCATTGTATATATTGCAGAAGTTTTAACTGTCGCAATTTTTCATCCCCACCACAAAGCGTAGAGGCAAGCAGGATACTGAAATCCACTTAGCGGTACCCTGCTGCCTCGCGTGGGGCCCTCGGGGCCCTCATCTACCCCCCTAAAAGGTCTGTTAATGTCGGACGCCGTCAACACATAAAATACGGCTGCAGGCGCAGCAAAGAGCTCAACTGCAACTGCATGCGGTAATTGTGCTTAGGAACCCTCCTTGCAAGAACTCTTGGGTCGGGGGGGACTGAGGCGCAGCAGGGGCTCGTCGCCGTCTATGCCGCCGCTTTCTAACGAATCCTAAAACAGCAAACAAGAAAAGCGAGAATAAATGCAATATGAGCAGCAAACAGGAGCAACGATCCCCTGCCGCAGCATGCTTTTAGGGTTAAAGAGGCAGACAGACACAAAATACGAAGTGTGACTACAGAAGAAAACAAATTAGAAGAACCAATTCAACGACGTACGCGCAAAATAGCGGCCTGAAGAACCTCCGAATTTCCTCCAAAGGCACTGTCAAGGTCCAGCTTCCGCTGACAGCACTAAAAAACACAGGAGAGGAGAGAAAGAAATCAGAAAATGAAGTGAGATATGAAACGCACGTTTCCGTAGCGTACATGGACAAATAACATGTATTAGTACGCATCTTTGTTTAGAGCATGCTTCTATTTAGAAAATATTTCAATGTAACCATTTTCAAATTTAAAAGCCTCTACTTCTATACAAAACGTTTTCCCACTTGCACTTGAACATCCCTCGATATACAACATTCTCCATTTAAAACATATTTCTATACAAAGCATATATACATATATATATATATATATTGTGAAGTACTTATATTATATGAGTATTTTTACATATATATGTATA